CAATCACACCCACACTCATTCATACTGGGACCATGTAGACATGCCAATTTACCTCACAGGCACAGTGTTGGGAGGAAATCAGAGTGCCTGGAGAAAACCCATGCAGACATGGGGAGAACGTGCAAACTCCACACAGTGGCCCTGCCTGGGAATTTTTTTTTTTCCTCAACCTTACAACAAAATGACATTGAATTAAATGACTTTACTTGAGGACCTGCTGTAAAATCACAGCCACACAACAATGGTTTGGTCAGCCACATACTTTATGGTAGCCCCATAAGATTATAATGTCACGATTTGACTGTATCTTTTCTATGTTTACATATGATTAGACAAGAAATACTTATCATTGTGTTATAAATGCCTACAGTATTTAGTATAAAAACCACTACCCTTTTCTTGAGAAATTACCATACTTTAAGCACTGTTACATACTTTACAGACATCTGGTAGCTAACATTTATACAGTGTATTCCACACGTCAATCACTATGCTATATGCTTTTCATATACATGGATTCACTGAATCCTCACAGTTACCTTTTGAGATAGGTAGTAATATGCTATACAGGTTCATAGCATGGCAGAAATAGGCTAGTCCACATAGAGTAGGTATGTAGTTGGCTATACCATCTAGGTTTGTTTAGGGACACACTATGACATTCACACAACAGTGAAATCACCTAACAACACATTTTTCAGAAGGTATGTCTGTCATTAAGCAATGTTTGACTGTATCTAAAGCAATGTGACCTAAAAGCTTAAAACAAAAATTTTAAGTGTAAAGGTAACCAAAACAAGAAAAATGCAAACAAAAAGTATATCAAAGAGAAACTGACAAATATTGCATTAATAGCTGGTCTTTTCCTTAGTTTTTTACAAAAACTTTTAATCTGGTGGGTTCTTTCTTCCAGGGAGGTATACAACAGAACCTTGGTAGAGGCTGGTTTAATTTAAATAGCTTCTCTGCCCCAAATTTCTGATTTGGTATTATCCTAAATTTAGAATGACTATTTCAGAGAATATACATTATATCTTATCAATATGCTATTTCTAATATAAACAAATGTTAGTTTGCCAGAAATAGAGAATATAAATTTTTAAATGTTACCCACAGAATATTAACAAACATTTTAAAAATATGTTATATTAACTATATAAAAACTTTTAATCTGTGTATAAAAATGCAAATCAAAATTTTTAAAAATGACAAAATTGGAGGTGTTACATCATATGAGGCAAACACATATATTGTTTTTCATATGTAGAGAGATACTTAAATAAGAAAATGTAAATTGTTCAATAAAAAATTAACAATAAACCTAGTAGGCATGTCACAAAAGTACAAATGGCCAATAAACATTAAAAATACTTAATCTTTTTGATAATCAAATAAATGCAAATTAAAACAATATTCTGACATATTTTGCCTTTCAAACTTGCAAAGTTTTTGTTTTTGTTTTTTTTTTGAGTTGGAGTCTCATTCTGTTGCTCAGACTGGAGTGCAGTGGCCGCTCCCGGCCACCACAGCTTCAACCTGCTAGGCTCCGGCGATCCTTCTGCCTCAGCCTTCCGAGTAGCCGGAATTACAGGCATGCGCTACCACACCCAGCCTGTAATTTTATTGTAGAGATGAGGTCTCGCTGCCCAGGCAAAGTTTTTTATTGTAAAACTTGGTGTTGGCTAGAATGAAATGAAATCCACAATCTTGCATTCTGCCTGCTGGTAGAAGTATAATTTGTACAGCCTTCTGGGCAAGTATTTGGCAGTATAAAAACCACTACCCTTTTCTTGAGAAATTACCATACTTTAAGCACTGTTACATACTTTACAGACATCTGGTAGCTAACATTTATACAGTGTATTCCACACGTCAATCACTATGCTATATGCTTTTCATATACATGGATTCACTGAATCCTCACAGCTACCTTTTGAGATAGGTAGTTATATTTCATTCTCATTTACCTAGACAGAATCTGAAGTACACAAAGGTTAATTTATTTCTAAAAAGTCTCATAATATTTTTAAAATGCTTCTGAGGTAAATATTATTCTCCCATTTCACAGGTTAGGACATTAGAGAAAGAGCCAGAAGGATGTATAACTTTCCTAAGTCACAGGAAGGGTACATAGCAGACGTGTGCATCAATAGCTGACTTCAAAGTCTAAGACTGTACTAGACTTCAAGAGTTTTTGATCCTATTGTTTCACTTATAGGAATTTATCCCACAATCACTATCTAGAATTCTCCCAAAGATATTTATACAGATTTTTTAAACATCATATTAATTACAATAGCAAAAGGTGGAAATAGAAAATGAGGGGTGATTGAGACAACATGTGATTGAGGGAGAGACAGTAAAAAGCAACGGAAAGATCTTGAAGAGGGTGAGATGATACCAGTTGCTCTAGGATAGACTCTTGGTCAGGAAGCAAAAAAAAAATGGTTGTCAAAAAGATAAGTATTGCAGTTGTCCAAGTGAGTGATAGTAGTAGTTTGACCTGACCAGTAGTTAAGGGTAGAGATGTACAAATTTAACACATACTTTGGGAAACAGAGTGACAACTATGGATATGAGGTATGAAGAAGAAGGTGAAAGATTGAGAGTAATGTTTAAACTTGATAAAATGGGTGACTGGAGGTATCATTTATCGATATTGAGAATGCAGGAGGAGCAAGAGTTTAGGTTTGAATTTGTAAGTGTAGAGGTAGCGAGACAGCCAATTGGAAATGTCACTACATTCCATTGCCTATTGGATGCAGACATGTGGATATCGTTTAGGAGTCAATAGCATCTAGATGACATTTGATATAACTTACGACGTCTCTGAAGAAAGACTAGCAAAAAGTAAAAGAGAAAGAGAAGCGGGCCCAGGTCTAAATCTTGAAACTCTCCAATATGCAGAGTCAAGCTCCAGAAGGAGTGAGCAAAGGACACTAAGAATCCCCAAGGTGCAGGAGCTAAACAGAAGTGTCAGAGAAGTGAAGAAACATTTCAACAAATAGTGAGAAACCTGTGCAGAATGCTGTAGAGTAGTGAAGGTGAGGATTGTCAAGTGTTTTTTGCAGATGTAAAGGTGGCGGTTGTTGGTGTCAGCAGAAATGGTGAGCACAAGCCAGATGAAGTGAAGGGGTGAAAATTTGCCTAGGTGCTTCATGCTAGAAGGCAGTCTTGGAGGAGGATATAAAGAGCAAAAACCAAAGGAGAATTTAGAGGAAAGGAAGATTTTTGTGATTTGTTTGGGTCAGTTGGTTTGTGTTTGACAATGGAAGATACTAGACAAAGTTTGAATGATCCTAGGAAGAATTCACCAGAGCAGTGGTTCTCAAACTCTGAGGTGCATCAGAATTAACTTGTTTAAGCAAGGATTACTGAGCCATACCCAAGAGCTACTGATTCAGCAGATGTGGAGTTGACTGGAGAACTTGCATTAATAACAAGTTCCTGAGTGAAGCTACTAATGCTGACCCTGAACACACTCTACTGCAGCAGAGAGAGAAGTTAAAAATATATGTGAGAGAAAGAAAAACTATCAGCATCATCTCTGAAAAGATAGGAAGAGTTGGGGTTCAGAGGATTTATGAAGATCGATTTTTGATAGGCTAAAAGCAACTGTGTAAAAATAGACAAGGAAAAAGAGAGAAAAACAAAAAAGAATTATGAGAATAACATGATAGCAAACACCTCCTATATATCAAAAGTAGTTGTAAGTGTTTTAACATATATTAATTCAATTCCTAACAATAGTCCATCAGGCAGAAAAAATGCAGTTAATATGTTCATTTGGTGCAAGAAAGTGACAGAAAACCTATATAACAGATTATGTTTCTTGTATGGTGTCTAATTTGATCTACAATATGACACCATCAGCTGAGTAGGATTAAGAAGAAGATTAACATTTGGATACTTTGGGAAAATAGAAAGTATTTAATGAGGACAATGGGAGGAGTTTATTATAGAAATATAGTAGGATTGGTGTAACTACTGAGTGCCCATTTGAAAGTAGGGTTGAGAATTTTTAGTGATACACTGCTTGATATTTTCCAGTCCGCTTAGTTGCCACTTGCAACCTGGGAAAAGGCAAGCTGTGGGCTTAATCAGTTGGGTTTATATCAGGTGGATAAAATAGGAGAAAAGGAAGTGAAGAGTGCAAATTTTTTTTCTAAAACTTTGTAGTATATTTGGGTTGTAGATTCCAAAGAGTCTAAAATAGATAAAGCTTGAGGAAATTGACCAATAAATATGTTGAAAACATACTTGAGATTATTCTAACATTCATTATGCTTGCTCTTATTATAAAATTTTTTGAGGGGAAGTTTTGTTTTCTATCAGATTTGATGCATTCTGCTTTTTTTGTCAAAGGCTTAAATTCAATTTTCCATTTAAATGTGCTTTAACATTTCATGAAGCTGAAAAATGCTCTTACTACACATGCATGAATTTGAGTGTGAGATATGTAAGTGGTGTGTATGGGTATATTTCACTCTAATCATTCTGCATGGCATCCTGCACTGTGAGAAATCGATTCACTGGTTTGCCACTCAAACTGCTGGGGCTCTAATAGTCCTCCACCTTGAGATAATTAGATTTAATCAGCAATTTTACAATAAATAATAATGGTATGAACTTGGGTTAGTCCCAAAGAGTAAATTTTTTGTGTGGAGAAATAGGCAACCTGTTCCTTTAAGAACATATAGGATTCACAGAAGATGTCTATAAAATGTTAAAGGGGTATAGCCAACCATGACCTAACCTTTTAGGGATGGAGAGAACATCAACCTTGTAATGAAATTATCCATGGGAGCTCATGCACGTTGTAGAATTCATCCTATATAGATACAAGTGTCCACCACATTAGATAGTTGCTATTGCCTTTAATCAGGCAAAATATATGCATATATAAAATATTTTTTAAAAGACTGGCAGAAAATTTTTAGTTGAAGTCAAAATGAAAAGGAAATGAATGAGATCTACTCTGTTTAAAGAACTGCCTTTACCTGCAAGGGTGCTGGTATTGACAAACTCAGCACTGGCAGAGGGCACACGGGGTAGATGGGGGTTGTCCTCACTGTAGGCTTTCAGAATGTACTTCTCAATTACACCTCTGACCACAACAGGTTCATCCCAGGTCACCTCAATGCTATATCCATTTATGCTGCAGACTCTTGAGGGAGTTGGCACACTTTGTGGAGCTGCAAAAGAATAAAAGAGAAAATATAGAAAATGGCAGTTCTGAGAAGACTATTGCCCCTATTCTTCACTTTTAATGGCTGCAGTAAATCAGACTCAACCATTAGCATAAATACAATTTATTAGAGTTGTAACTTTTCAGCATTGATTTAATATGACTGCACATCTTGAGCCATTCAGTTTAAGCGATATTTCAAAACCATCAAAACTCCATCGACATAACATTCTTTCAAGTCTAGTCCAGGTTTTCCAAAAACATTTAATGTATCCAACATGTTTAAACATCACTCATAAAGAAGGAGGTGGATAGTAGGCAGATAACAAGTTCAAGCAATAGAATGATGTACCCCTTTGAAGCAAGATAATTAGACTGTTATTAAAACATAGTGGTTTGACACTTTTATATCTTCAATGTATTAACCAAAAAATATCACAAATGTGATTGTGTCTCATTAATGCTTGAATGTCTGGACCCATTTTCTAAATTCAACTGTTGTTCAAATTAGTTTTTTAAAAAAGCAAAGTTCTACCAGAAATGATATATAGGATATATTCCTAGATGCATGGGGGTGGGGGGCTAAGGGAGCTGATGCCCTTGAGATTCTACAAAATTGTTTTCAGAGATATGTTCTACAGAGTATCTCAAAATAATAATAACACAAAATGAGGACACTTAAAGGAACTGCAAAGCCTTACTTACAAGCTAAGCCCCCTAATTTTTAAAATCCATAACTGTTAACTATTTATTAGATATTTCTACAGCTCTGATCAGTAACAACTTCATCACAGCTGACTGCACTGGGGACACAAAGAAAGAGCCCGAGGAACTCCGTGGCAGGATGATGGATGAGAGACCTGCTCTAACTGCTCATGGACTCCTGAGCCCTGTCGATGGAGGATCACTTTGGTTTTTCCACATCAAATATCCTCCTTCTCCGACTTTACTGTTCAGACCAATAAAATAGGACAGCTTTAAGGAAAACAAAGTGAACATAAAGGATGAGGGAAACCACAGAGGGGGAAAACCTCTCTCTGTGCAGTTAAAACACCATGAACACCTATAGAAAACACACAGGCCATGCGACCAAGTTGCAAGGAAAGGGACAACGGGAGTGATGCTGATTTTATTAGTTCTGAAATGTGGTACAGGGCAAAGTACAGTACTGTCTAACAGATGGTCTTCTCATAAGGGACAGAGCAAAACTGACTCAAAAATAATTAAATAGTGCAATTATTCTGCAACCCTTGGGAGCATGTAGCTGCTTGGTGTTGTGGTCAGATTGTAAATATGAATTTATGGCATAAGACTTTGTGATTAGACCATTGTTATAAATTCAGAACACTGTTTGTGTACTTGCTCAGTGGTACTCAAAATTGGGACTATTAAGCCAAATGAGCAATGCACTTTCTGGGTACCTATTTACATTGCTGAATTATACTCAAAGCAGGCTTTATAGTATAATTGCTAGTAAAGTAAAGGAATGAAAAATAGGGGCACAGAATATGACAGTAATAAATGAATATTTTACATTGGAGCTTTTTCCTAGCTCTGAAGTTGAAAAGGATTTTAAGAGATTGTTAGCTCATTATCTTGCCTATAAATAGATGATAATTTAAATCATTCTAGAATAGTATCAAGTTGTCCTCTTCTGAAAAATATGTAGGAAGAAAGCCTGGAGAATTATTCTTAGTTGCCCATCTCAGTATTTAATTATCTTTTAGATTAAGAAGATTCCTCAAAGGACGCCTAAGATAGAAAATTATTGTTGATAATAAGCATAAGAGAATAACTTGGTGAAAAATACATCTTCAGATAAATTGTTATTTGCTGGATAAACTTTCTTCAGAGACATTGGTGGCAATCATTTGGAGATATGTCCATTTTTCAGACAAATATTTGACCCCAAAGTAGTAGAATGCTACTGAGCCACAAAGCTCTTTGTGTTGAATATCTTCCTGTGATGGTATTATAGGAAAATGTTTTATGACCATAATCAGAAGTACAAAATACTTATAGGTAAGCTTTCTGAGGTTAGATCTAATGTAATCTATCTCCTAGCTGTTTCTCTTCCAAATCAAAAAATTTAAACCAATCAGCAATTTCTTTGTTGGGAGAGTCATCCTAAGATCCTAACTGTCAACAGCATGGCAAACATCCACAATGACGTGATAACAGACACATTTGCTGCCAACCAGATGCAAGTTTCAAATGTGCTGTCGGCAAAAAATTCTAGAGGTTGGGGTAGGTGTGGCTGCCATTTCCTTAAGTCAACCTGAACTTACTTTCTTCTGCATCCAAAGAGGAGAGAATCAAGCCTGATCAAATATTTAGTAAATTCTTAAAAAAGCAAAAGTACTAATCTACTAAGCATTTTAGCCTTTGACAGGTGCATTTTCAAACAAAGACATGCTTTGTCATAAAATTACAAAACTACTACTACTTTGGGTTAATAGCCCTTGTGTACACATATGCATTTTAAGATGAATAGCATTTACCTGCAGCTGTTGTACGACCTCGACTCCAATCACTATACACTGAACCTCCTTCATGAGAGGCTATCACTCGATACAGGTATTCTTAAATGGAAATAAGAAGTAGAAAGGTTAAAATATTACTCAGATAGACTAATGAGGGACTGGTAGGGAGGGAAAGGGGGACGAACAGGAGACATGTAACATTTAATTCAGAGAACCGTCACATTACCTGTGAAATGCTGGAGACCACCCTCATAAACACTCTGTTCTTTTCCCTGGTAAACCAGAATGGAGTCATTTCCCCTGCAGTTAACAGCGCTGTCAGTTGATAGGCATCCATCCAGATTGACTCTGACAGCACTGCTGGACACAGATGCCAAGTTAACGACAGCACCCCGTGTAAATTTAACATCCTTCATGCAACCACCGAAACCTAGCAAATAGTAAGGGATGAGTATCACATAAAGGGCTTAAGTCATTAATTACCAATCATTTTTGTTCTCTGCAGTACCACATTTTGGGGGAGGGGAGTGGTTAGACACAATTGTTAGACTTTCAAGTCTTGTTTAGGAAATCTTTTATGCCTTCTCCTGCTTTTTATCAGGCGAAGTCGTTGCAAGGAAATATTTATATTTCTGTTATTTGGAAAATATTGATGTGAATAATTATAATTTAAATCTTAGTACTGAAAAGCATTTATTTTACCTCTTTATGCCCACATTTTCCAAATTCTGTTTCTTCTTAAGACATAAAATTTAGGCAATTATATATTATGGTGGGGAATATTCACTTGTCCCTCAATGTTGGAAAATTAATTTACTATAAGTCAAATGTTTACATGCCAAAAAATAATATTTAAATTAGCATGACTATTCAATAAGCTCATTGGGGAAGAAATACACTTTGAGGATTTTATGCAGAATAGCAGGAGAGAGAACATGGCTTCAAAATATATTAGAATGCTAAGAAATTCCTGTGAATTGCATAATAATAATTTCAGAGATAGAGAATTTAGTCCCAGTTTCAGCAGCACCCAGAAGAGTTATCACTATGCTCTACCATTCTCACTGAGTTCCATAATCTTGAAAATACAAAATGGTCACCAGTTTTATGTTCACATTAACATGATAGGGGCCAACATTTAGCTTTGGCAATAGTAACACCGTAAGGTTTCACAGAATGTGTATTCTACACAGGTGACCTTAGAACAACCACTGTGCAGTACAGTTCTGTGAAGTTGAACAGAGAATGTGGATGAAAAGAATTTATAGTATTCACTACTTTTTTTGTAAGAAAACATACAAAAAAGGCATCCAGTCAGCCACGAATAGCAGCTGCTTTGAATTTCATGTTATTTTGTGTAAACAGTGATCAGCTCAATGAAGTTTGGCAGTACTCTCTTCAGAAAACTGCATGAAATTGGGGCAAACAGGACTGAGTTGGAGATTGCTGTAGCACACACATACACTCTTTCTAAACAAAACATGTAAAGTTTGAAAGGCCCTCAATACATGATCAGTTTTTTTCAAGATTAAAGCACAGCAGCAGGAAACGAAAATAAAACAAAATGCAACACCTAACAGTAAAATAAGTTAATAATAACAATGGCCATATAGCATTCTTCAGCATTTATATGATGTCTTATTATGTCTTCCAACACATTAAGTTGCAGCCTATTTCCTTTTAAATGCATTTTGCTATTATTCACATTTCTTTAGGCCCGACTGATCAATACTGCTAGTCTATCTTAAACACACAGTAGACACTCAATAAGTTGGGTGAATTGAATTGAAAGCAATGAAGCTCACTATAAAAGCATTTGCTGGAAAATTCAGAAGCTAAGAATTCTAATTTCTTTACCAGCAGTAATTTTCTGATGGCACATAGCTGAATTATCTAACTTCTCTATACCCTAATCTTCCTACCAAAAAAATGAGAATGCTAGAAAGGCAGCTTGGCAAACAAGTAAGTGCTGTTATAAGAACTGTCACATTATTGTTTGAGGACTACGTAATTTGAATTTTACAAGATGAAGAGTTCTGCAGGTGGATGGTGGCGACTGCTACACAACAATGTGAATGTACTTAATGCCACTGAACTGCATACTTAAAGACAGTTATGATGGTCAATTTTATGTTATGTATATTTCACCACCATTTCCAAAAAATTAAAAGTTTAACAGAAAGAATTGCCATAACAATTAATTCACAAGATGGAATTTTAAATTTGAGAAAGGGCACAGAAATAGTTTTCCTTCATTTTGGAGATAAAGAGAAAGGTCCAGAGAGCTATAAACTGTGGTTTGTAAACACTAATCCTCCTAAGGGTGTGGTCCTCTGGCCTTGGGCTATGTTTTTCTTCTGGTAGAGACCACTGGGCTTGCTTTAATGAAGTCTGCACCATTCTTTCAAATCATTAGCACCAGAAACACTCTCCAGCCACCTTCAACATTTGAATGAAATGTGAGGATAAGAAGAGGGGAAGAACATGGTTGTAAGAAGAGTGGAAATTCATCCTTTTTCTGGCTCCCCTGCCTTTGAGAGAATCAAAAAATATTCCTTACTCTTACCAGTCCCACACCACCCTACCACCCTCAGGCCTCTAAATTACAGGTGACCCAGAGTTCTACATTGACAATCCAGAAAAGCATTAGTGCTTCCTCGAGGGGAGGCACTACCACACTAGGGCACTTGGCTTGGCAGGCAGGCTTGGTTCCAGGCCCTATTGCTTCTCTCTCAGTGGAGGTCTTCGAGCAGAGCATAACATATGATACCATATGCGATGGCCCAGTTATGCCTAACCTAGGTATAAGTGATTGTCCTAAGTCATAGTTCCTAGAAGAAAAACTCCTATGATCTGGGCTGATAAATCTTCAGCAAATTATGTTGCCCACACTTACAAGACAACGAAGAAAATTAATTTTGTATTTACTTTAGAGGAAGATTACAATGTTAGTGGATAAGAAAAACAAATAGTATTAACATGATCACAAAATAGAGCTTCTGAAAAAAAGTGCTAATTAAGAAGCATAGAAAAGGATGAAGATTTTAAAAGTATTGATAATGGATGGAAAGAAATACATCAAGTGAACATGATTCATTTTAATTGCAATTGACTACATGCATACTGTACCTCTATATTGTGAATATTCTCCCTGATCACTGCATAAAACATTCAGTTACTAATATAGATCAGTGTCTTTCAAAGCATCTGAGTCACAATTTTAAGAAATGGAGGTCAAAACATGTGCATTTTTAATATCCTATTATTACTAAATATTATTAATAATTCTGGTGATTCCATTGTACCATCAATAGTAAAAATAAAAATAGCTGATTTGGACTTCTTACTACATTCCAGCTACTGTGCTTCAATATTTTTTCAGTGGTTTTGAGCTACGGATGATACTGCACTGATAAAAATTTAGTATTACCCATAAATAAAATATCTTTCAGTATCACAGCCTTAGTGATAGTGTAGGTAAAATTATTCCCCTTGGGCCTACGGTAATATTTTAAACTTCTGTCATTATCATCTTATGATTTGTTTTAGTCCCGTCTCTAGAACATCAATAGTAATGGGTGTAGGTATAATTCAAAGAACAAGGTTGAATAGGGAAGTTTTTTTTTTTTCCTAGATGTAAACAGCATTGAGTAACCTCACTCATACAAACGGTTTTCAAGTTCTTTCTAACCTCAGAAACCTGAAAACCCGGAGAAGCTCTTATACGAATGTAATATTTTTAGCTGCTGTTACATCTTAAGTGCCTTGAAAATGTCATTACTGTCTTACACCCCAGTTATTCATTAACTCCTTACTACTACCCTTCTAAAAGTCTCCTAAGAGCTTGCCATATATTTTCTATTCAAAGGTATTTAAATCTTTATGTACTTACCAAATAGGCAAGACTGCTTCATGGAAATTTTAACTATTCATGGTACATAGATTTTGAAGTACGTGGAGAACATTTTCTACACGGGAGCCTGGCCTGCTTGGTCACCTGCTGGAAGTTACTGTGCTTTCCCCACTTTGTAGAGAAGAAGTGTCAGCCAATGCCCATAAAGAACACTTGATTGTGAAAAGGAGAGTAGACTTTTACATCAGGCTGCCTGAGACAGATTTACTGTCTTACTATCTGCTTACTAGACATGTGGCCTTAAGCAAGTTACTTTCCTCTCTGTTATTCAGGTTCCTCATCTGTTAAATGGGGATATGAATAATAATGCCTAACTCAGACCTTGTTATGGAGAATTGATCAACTTATTCTCACGTACAGTTCTTAGAACCATGACTGCCACACAGAATGCACTTAGATATTAGCCTTTTTAAGTTAATAATTTCTCTGAATGCATCCAAACTTACGAGTTAAATGCTTGCTTTAGTTGTAAGTAATGCACATTTTCTTTCTCTGAAGGTTATTGATAATAAAAAATATGCAAAATTTCCCAAGTATGTTTGGAAGTCAACCAAACACTCCCTTTCATGTGCTTTTTTTGCATAAAATTTCTACTAAAAAGTGTGGAGAAAATTAGCATTTATGTCAAAGAAAAACAAAAAAATTAATTTATTTGCCATTTTTTCTAGTTGTGTACATCAACCTATTTTTCTCATCCTTAAATACAGGTAATGATCATTATAAAAAAGAACCAGAACCATATGTGTTTTTGAGAAAAGCATATCAGGAAATATATTCTCACATTATATATGTTTACATTAATTACTACTTGCTGAGAACATGTTGAAATAAATATGTCTATAATAAATAGAATGATAGCACATTTTTTTTTTTTTTTATGAGTTGGAGTCTCACTCTGTCACCCAGACTGCAGTGGCCACTCCCAGCCATTGCAGCCTCGACCTGCTGGGCTCCGGCGATCCTTCCGCCTCAGCCTTCCAAGTAGCCGGAATTACAGGCATGCGCTACCATGCCTGGCTGATGTTTTGATTTATTGTAGAGATGAGGTCTCGCTACCCAGGCGGGTCTCGAACCCGCGGGCTCAGGCAATCCACTCACCTCCGCCTCCCAAAGGTGCAGGATTACAGGCTGAGCCACCGAGCCCGGCGATAGCACATTTTTAAGAACAACATACAAAAGTATTTGAAGAAGGACTATTTGACTGTTTTGTAGGGCTTAAAATTTTTCAAAACAGGGGGTATTAGTGGGTGTAGCTATTAGCCTAAGTCTATTACTATATCTTAAAACACAGAACCATTAAAACCTGGCAAGACCAGAGCTGTATCGATTTGTGAATTCCTCTAGATGGAGTTTACCTTGTTCCAGACTCAAGTGTTGATAAGAGTTATGCAGCTCCTGTGGGATTCCTCCCACATAGACTGGTGAATTCACCACCAGTGGCTGGGCTCCAGACTCTGACGCCCGCTCCATTATTCCATTCATGCTTGCTGATATGAAGGAGCCTTCCTTTTTAATAATTACTTTATTCCACTTTCCATCACAATAAGACAGTCCCAGCCAGAGATCCACTTGTGTAAGGGCAAGACTGGTATTTAACTGGAAGCTCAATATTCCACTCTTCAGCTCCATCTGTATTTTATATTAAAAAAGAAAATAGCTATATAAAAAAAGCTGCAGAATGGCAGTTTGGAAGAAAGCAGAAGGTCAATTTCTTGAAGAAAAGCAAGAAATTTCTCTGAGAGCACTCTATAGAAATGTTTTACTTTATGCTCAGCAGAATTGGAGCAATGTATAATGAATATTTTGCAGGCATATAATTGACACGATGGATGTTGTATCAAGTAAAAAATAATTATACCCAGTAATAATTATACGATGTAATGCAATGTTATGTAGATCTAGAAATTTTGTGTGTGTGCAACATAGTTAAAAGATTAAACCCTAGCATAAGTGACTGAATGACTGAAGAGAACAGAACAGTTTGAACGATGACACTTTGAGTTTTTAGAAAAATGAGAAAATACTACTTCATATATCAATTTAATGTGGGGGAAAATAGACAAGACAATAAGAAAATGAAATGTCAGGCTTGATTAAGGTTAGTGAGCTCAATTTCAAATTTGTAAGATAAATTTTTATTTAGTATTTCAGTTTTATTCTAAATCTCTAACTAATATAATTATTTCTATGTGTATTCTATTAGAAATACTGTACCACTTTTAATGTGAACATATTTCAATGAGATTTTCAGGGCAGAATAAATTAATTCATACTTTTTTTCCTTCAGTCTGTTACATGATAATTATTTTACCTACTATGCTTTACTTTTTTAGAAATCTAATAAGTGATAATAGGATTATTGAAAACTTGAGATCAGTTGTGTCAATTAGAACAAATTAAATCATGTCAGATAAAAACATTAACATTTCTACAAAAATATCATCTTTGTGAAGTACCTTAGGTAAACAGTGGCTCATTTGTCTATCCATTTATTCAATAAGTAATTAGGTCTTTATTATGCTCCATAAACCTGCTACACTAAGATAAACATTGGAAAAGGGAGATCCAAGATGGTCACCATGGAGCAGCAGATCAGCACCTCTCTCACTGATCCAGACAGACAGAGAGTAGGGACCTAGCAGTCCATAGATGGAGACACCTCAAACACTTTTGGATGAGTGAAACAATCCACCCAGCAAAAGTCTCTTTGAACACAGAGATACTAGAAAGTGACAGGGGATGCAGGAATCCAGGTACCACATCCTCCATCATGTGCCAGGCTCAGAGAAGAATGGAAGTCCTGCCCTGTGGCCAAAAGTGGGTGAGTGAGCCAAAGATGCTTTGGGATGGTTTACCCCACTCTGAGCCATGCAGAGGTCATCAGTCCCATGCAAGAGAAGTTCAGGGCAGAGTGCAGTGGCAGAGAACCACAGTTCAAGCAAAATGGGAGAAAGGCCCATGCTAGGTCAGCTGCCATGAGTACAGCTTCCCACCAGGCTGGTGGCTCATGGGCAGGGAGGGCATGCTGGCAGAGTGAACCTGGCTGATGTGCACTGCCAGCAGCTGGCAGCTATCTCTCCAGCAAGATCAGAAAGAACTCCCTCTAAACCCTGCATCCCAGTAGGGCAGTACTACCCCCTTCTCCCTCCATGGCAGAGAACTTGCTCTATTTCAAGAGCAGAGTGCAGACCTGAACAGGGAGGAAAGACAACAAAGGGCTCTCTCAGTGGGAAGTATCCTGGGCTGTATGCTGCAGACAGCATATGGGAGAGCCACCCCCCCTCCCCACTATCCACAGAGTGCTAGCAGTCAGGGCTGAAAGCTGGTCCAACTAGGCTAGCAGCAGGAGAGAAACTCTGCAGTGACAGAAACCTGAACAAGAAGCAGATGTGAATGCCCCTTCTTCTCTCACTGAGCGACATATATTGAACTACAGAAAGGACCCCAGAACAGAAGGTAATTTAATAGCTTCAGAACATCAAATCAAAAGAGAAATTATAGAGAGTGAAAGAATGACTGTCAAAAATGAGGAAAAAGCAATGAAAAAATACAGGCAACCCTCAGAGTCCTAAAGAGATAGTGCCTAAAAAAGCAGCTATCAGAGCACAAACAATGGAAACCCCTCAGAACAACCTGCCCTAGATGACAGCTACAGAAATCAGATATTGGATGGCAAAAATGAACAGAGACCAAGAGGAACTAAAAGTGAAACTCACTGAAGTCATATAGAAAGTAAAAGCAGAGTTGGTCAATTTCAAAAAAAAGCCCATTCTGAAAAAAATGGAAATGAAAAACATTATACTGTAAATTAATAACGCAGTAACAAGCATAGGAAGAAGGGGAAGCAAGGCAGAGGAAAGAAACCCAGAACTTGAAAACCAAAATATGGAATTAACCAAGTCTGTCAAAAACATAGAAAAAAGCACAAAAAGAAAGAGATGTGGGACTATGTCAAGAAGCCAAATCTATAATTGATTGGTATCCCTGAAGCAGAAATGGAAACAGAAAACACCATGGAACAAGAAAACTTCCTACATCTCTCTAGAGAGGTGACCATTCAAGCACAAGAGATTCAGAGAACTCCTGCAAGGTATCCTATGAGAAGACCATCCTCAAAACATATAGTACTCCGCCTCCACAAAATTAGGCTGAAAGAAAAAAAAAATCTTAACAACAGCAAGAGAGTAAGGTCAGACTGCCTGCTGAGGAAGACCCATAAGAATCACTCCAGACTTATCTACAGACACACTACAAGCCAGACGAGACTGAAGTCTTAAAGATAAGCAATTCTAGCAAAAAATTTCCTATCCTGCCAAGCTATGCTTCATCATTGATTGAGAACTAAAATCATTTCCAGTCAACCAATCCCTAAGAGAATATGCTGTCTCCAGACTAGCCCCTCAAGAAATTCTTAAGAAGGTGTTGAACTAGGAAGAAAAAAAGAAAAAAAAAAGAATGGTGATACACATCACAAAGGTACAGGCAAACACAGAATTAACAGAGTATATAGAACACTCACAAAAATGGAAATACACACATATATAAATACAAAAGTAAAAAGGAAACAAATAAACCTCTAAGAGCCCTAGGACATGGAAAAACCCTTGTATTTCAATAATCAATTTGAATGTGAATTGACTAAATATGTCACCGAAGAGACACAGAGTAGCAAACTGGATAAAGAAACATGATCGAACAATCTGCCACCTCCAAGAAACTCATCTCACTGCAAAGGACACCCACAGGTTCAAAACTGGAGGCTGGAAAATGATTTTTCAGGCAAACAAAAAACAGAAGAAGGCAGGTGTAGCTTTTCTGTTATCAGACAAAGCAGCCTTCAAATCATCAAAAGTTAAAAAGAACACAGAAGGATACTACATAATGATAAAAGACACAATCCACCAGTAAGAAGTATCTATTCTAAACATATATGCACTCAACACAGGAGCACCAGGTTTTATAAAACAACTACTAAGTAAACTAACAGAGGACACTGACTCCAATACAATCATAATTGAGACCCAAATAACCCCACTAAAAGCTACAGGTAGATCTTCAAGGCAAAAAGTCAACAAGGAGATCCAGAACCTCAACTTGACACTCGATCAAATGGATTTAATAGTCATCTACAGAACACTTCACCCAACATCTGCTGAGTATATATTCTACTCATCAGCATATGGAACATACTCCAAGATCGATTACATTCTCAGATATAAATCAAGTGTGAACAAATTTCAAAGATTGAAATAATACCATTGTATCTTCTCAGATCACAGTGCAATAAAAATAAATATCACCACCAACAAGATCCCTCCAAAACACACAAAGATACAGGCACAAAACAACATTATGCTGAATGACTTCTGTGCCTAGATAGCAAGAATGTGAGGGTAAGATGTCCATAATTTTCTCTTGATTCTATGCCAGTTCCTCAAAAGAACTTTATAAAATTAACATTTTAATAACATATTTATTTTTTACAGTGGTATCTGACTGAATAATTAAAGACAAGTAAAAGCAGTTACATTTGCCCACTGAAATTACAGAAAGAAATGTATTTCTAAAAAGTCCATAGCAGTCTTATTCAGCATAGCAAAAACAAGGAAATATCATTGATAAAAGATATATTGCATAGCCATGAAAATGTATACCTACATAGAAACATGAATGACTTAGAAACAATGTTGAGTGCAAAAATCAGTTGCCTGAAGACAGAATATAAGACCAATTTTAGAAATTTTAAAAACAATTAGTTTTAGGCATTTATATATGGTGTTCAAACTATAAAAATGCATAAACACACAATTCTGATTACAGAAATTTTAAAAATAATTAGTTTTAGGCATTTATATATGGTGTTCAAACTATAAAAATGCATAAACACACAATTCTGATTACATATCACCTCTGAAGGGAGATGGAAATGAGACAACTTATAGATAGATTTTTAAAAAATCTTTAATATTTTAGTTTTGGGGTTGAGGGGTTAGTTTCATGAATACTCATTGTGTTATTAATTTTACTGCATATATGTAATATAAAATATGTACAAGAGGGTACCCAAAAAATTTCAGAATTTATTTATAAAAAAATATATATTCTTACATGTTTAAACTTCAGTCATCTTCAAAGTACTCTCTGTATTTATGCAATGCACCTATTCAGATGCTTTTTCCACTGCTCAGACCAGTTTTTGAACTTGTCAATTGTGATGCCTTTAGTGATTATGCTGTTTTTTGTTTCCCCTCTTTCACATTGGCAAAACATTTCCTTCTGAGGACTTTTTTCATCCAGGGAAACAAACAAACAAACAAAAAGTTGCTCAGGGTGAAATCGGGTACATAGGGCGGGTAGGGTATAGAGGTCATGTCACTTTTGTTCAAAAACTGCTGAACACTCAACATGGAGTGGGAAGGTCATTGGTGTAAATCACCCATCATGAAATGGGCAAATGTATTGAAAGAATCTCCAAAAAATTCACTGAAATAGAATGCAGCCTCTCACAACAACACTAGTTGGTACACTGATGCTGATGGGTTCCTAGAATACTCACCCAGTAGGAGAAGCCAGTATTACATGGGGCTCACTCCCCAAAAAGATAATTCTGTTTTTTGGGTCCCTCCTCATATTATATATATATTTTTGAAACTTATATAAAAAGATAATGAGAAAAGTATTTTTCGTATATTGAGAAACTAAAGTGGATTTTCTTAATTCCTTATATCTAGTCTGTTTTGTTAAAATTATAATTTTTACATTATTAATTATCATTAAAAAGATCACCATGATCCTAAAGTATAAAATGTTTCACAGGACTTCAAAACTAAATATAACTTGCAAAAAAAATGAAATCAAAGTGAGTTTGTAAGAAATTTCAATGAAGTATAATTAAATTAATTAACATACAGCAAGAAAATCAGGTCCATCTTTGTTGTAAATAAAAAGAAGCAATCCGCTTAATTGGTCAGTTCTGAACTTAAAGGAAATCTCAAAGTCCATTCCACCATGAAACATATATGGATAAAGTTCCAGGAACCCTTTAAAGATAAAAATAAATACATATTAGCACATGTAATGCAATATTGTCAACATTGTAAGAGTGCTATGAAACTCTAGGATGTATGTTGTCAGTGAGTAAATCTCTCACAAAAGATGCAAATTAGTGTTAAGAAACCTCTTTTGTATTTGTATAGAAGTGTCAGAAAGAATCTGATAAACCTTTTAAGAGGGGGGCATTTACTCTCTAAGTCATGTAATAGGCTATTTTATGTAAGATTATTACTGTTTCATATCAGTATTAACAATAAGTGGTTGCCCTGACTAAGAGAAACCTCGAATGACATTGATGAGAAAAGAGCAATGAAAAAGTACATAGATGATGATATTATTAATATCATATGTTCTTCTTTTCAAAAGACAGTTTAAGCATCTTGATGTAACTTAGTTATAAATTGTAGGAGGCAGAGGTGGGCTTTTATTTGAAGAATATATCATGTCCACCAAGCTACCATATTCCTTCTCTGCCTTCTACTAAGTGGCTAACCAGGCAGAGACTATGGGGTAGAGGGGTCAGACATGGATGATCACTATGCCTCCCAATGGCAGAGATGGCAGTTTCAGTCTCCAGCTCTCCCTCCGTGGATTGCTTAACTCATTACACAGCTGAAAGTTTACGCTTAAGGATACAGTTCAACCATGTAATGAGCTAAATATGTATTTGTGGATTAACCTAGTAAATAAAAACTCCTTTAAAATATCTTTCTAAGTGCATTGTAAGTGTATCTCTAACAGCCTGCTAATTTCCAAACAACTGGTTTACAAATAGACATTGGTAATACTAACATATGTAAACCAAGAACTGTGTACTCCACCAGAGATGTTGCATGTGGATATACACTTACACGTCTTATAATTTACATTACATATTTAGACATTGAGGATATATTGATGTTCATCATGGAATAAATAGGCATTTTTGTGATACTAGTCCCTGTGAGGTCAAAATAATCAGACGGGAGAGATTAAATTATGCCTAGGATAGAACATACTTTTAAATGACCACTGTTGTCTGTTTTAGAGCCTTACCTGCTCCTAGGAACTGGGCTCCCTCATTTAATGAAGTGGGGCACCCCTCCCAGCTGTTATACACATTGATTTGTTCTTCACAACTCTGCCAATCCAGAGGCTCCCAAAGAGCAGAGGGATTATAATTCTTCAGAACATGTACATCCTTGAGACAGCCCACAAAACCCTTTTGAATTATCTCTGCAGGAGTAGATGGATATCAATAAATAGGCATTTTGAAAGATTCTTTTCAAGCAATTAATTTTATGCACCATTAAAATCTAAGAAATAGGCAGTAGCTTTCACCACCTATTTACTGTAAGTCTCTTTTTTTTTTGAGTTGGAGTCTCACTCTGTCACCCAGACTGGAGTGCAGTGGCACGCTCTCGGCCACCGCAGACTCGACGTGTTGGGCTCTGGCGATCCTTCCGCCTCAGCCTTCCAAGTAGCTGGGACTAGAGGTATGCGCTACCACGCCCAGTTAATTTTTTGATTTATTGTAGTGACGAGGTCTCGCCAAGTTGCCCAGGCAGGTCTCGAACCCGCGGGCTCAGGCAATCCACTCACCTCAGCCTCCCAAAGCGCAGGGTTATAGGCTGAGCCACCAAGCCCGGCTACTGTAAGTTTCTTAATGACTCACGTAAACACCATACTACTCGCTTGGGTAAATGGTAGCAAATATTTAGCTCTGGTTCAAACCCATAATATTTACAGAAACAGATGTTTATGCAGAAACCTTGGTTTTGCAGTAGCAAGAATATTGTCTTTTGAACTAATAGGGAAATTTTATCTGCCACTAGCTTCAAAAATAAAGTACCATAAAATGTAAGTTTTGAAAGGAATATTTCTATCAAATTGATAGTTTATATCTTACTTCTCTCATCATTATGAACCAGTTTATTATTCTAATGAATCAATAATTTGATTTCACTTTTGAAAACGTATGTAGTGGTGATATTAAATTTTGAACTCTGCATATCAGGTAGATGTGGGGCTTATAAGTATAGAAAACCAAGTGATAACAAAGCGTTGAGTGAAAAAGGTAGCAAATGAGAAAATTAGAAAGAGCTAGAAAAAAAAATCAAGAGAGAGGTCACATGCAGCTGACATCACATTTCATAAAGCCATGCCCTTCCCTATGGGGAAAAGCTTAGTGTTCAGCTTTGAGTTTATGACAGTTTTACAAGGCCAACTTATATGCACATTGCCAAATTATTTATTTACAATGGATATGTGTCTTCTACAGAAAGGTACTTGGTATTAAGGTATTCTTCTGGTATCTGAACACACCATTGCCCAGAAGAGCAAAAATCTAAAACAAAGACTGTGTGTGTGTGTGTGTGTGTGTGTGTGTGTGTGTGTGTGTGTGTGTGAATACTCCTCTACCAGTGTAAGTGGTTCATTGAAAACCTTCTCTAATTTAGAGACATTAATGTGGAGGTAGCTATAATCATTCTTGAGGATTCAACTAGACTTCTCTCCTTGAGAATTTCAACATAGCCCTCTCCAAAATTCACTGAAAACATTTCATTCCTTTTGATCTTATGTATCATGATTCTCTGAAGACTATCACCCATGAACAAATTATACTTATCTGGGTCTTAGCTTATTTGTAATATTTACGTAGTTATATTTCAACTTCTAGGAGAGACTTGGGAGGCACCCTATGATCCTTGATGAGAACTTGGAAAACAATTCTAGAATTGTTAGCATTACATTTGAAGGATTTTCTTTTTCTGCCTAAAGGTTAATTCCATTTATGTTAGTTTTTACTAGTTTCATTTTAGGATGCACTTTTGTGCTTTTGTCCTAAAATATGAGAATTGCTTTGTCTATAGTTCAATTACAACACCTATGGCATTAGATTGAAATTATCTGTTCATATGCCCAAACACTTTATTTGTGACAAAGACCACATTTTATTTATCTATAACTATCTAGGGGTTGGTTTAGTACCTGTCACATCAGGGGATGTTCTTCACCCTATTTGGAGTATAAATCAAGTCCATAGTTTTCCATTTCTGCATTGTCTTACATTCCACTTAAAATCTTAGAAAAATCTACGCATAAGTCCTAAAATAACATACCTTTGACTGAAATTAATATAATTCATTTCAATAAAAGTTTAATGAATTCCTTTCATATACCAAAAACTGGTTACTAATAATATAAATATAAGTAGTATGGAATTCATGCTTCCTTTAAAAAAGTAGAGACATAAAGGAAATTGTTTGATACATTGATATAGAAAATATATCATACACAGAAAATAATGCATATTCATACTTTAAAATAATGTAAATCAAGTCTATTCTAAGTTTTGGTGGCAACATGTAATTCTATACCTTACTAAACTCACCAGGATCTTTCCTTAGGACGGTATAACCTTGTGGTAGCCCTCCCAGAAACACTCCTGTGTTATCACCAATAACAGTACTACCATTCAGGGTAACAGAGGAACCTAGAGAAAGGAAGATGAGAAGTACCATTTCAGCAGGATGCTCCATTTCTACTAACTTGACAAACGATGAAACCCTCATGGGGCTTTGGGAAAACACTCTCTGGGTTCTCTTTTCTCCTTATTGTCTGTTCCTCATTGCATTTCTTCACTGGTTCTTCCTCAACATCCCAGCATCCTGACACTGTAAAGGCCCACATCTCCTCCTCCAAGACCTCCATCTTTCACTACCTGTACAGACACACTCTATCCTCTAGAGGAATGCATAGTAGGCTAGGCACCAGTGTTAACTACCAGGGCCAAAGGCCAGAGAGGCCTGCCTCTCGTGTGGCATAACAACGCCAATCCCTGTTAAAATTTCTATCTAATTCTTTCCTTCTTTGGGAAGAGAGAGAAAGTTATTTGTTTTTGTTTTGCCAGAGACAAATACACTCCAATTCGCCCTACTTACATCTGGTCCCTTGGCTTTAAATACCATCTCTACCTGACAATTCTGAATGTGTACCTCCAGTCTGGATCTCTTTTCTGAATTCAGACTTGTATGTCCAGTAGCCTGACTGATATCTGTACTAGGATATCAAGATATTGTAGATATCTCAGACTTAACATGTTCAAAACTGAACTTCGAATGCCTCTCTCCAAATCTCCTTTTCCCACAGTCCTGCACTACTGGGAGCTCCATTCTTCCAGTTGCCCAGGCCCCAACCTGGCAGTCTTCGTCTAGATCAGAGGCCAGTAAACTCTGTCGAGGGCCAGATAGTATTGTTGTAAACTATTCAGTCTCAAGCAATCATAGATAATATACCAAGGAATGGGTGTAGTAGTGCTCCAGTAAGACTTTATAAAAACCAGCAGGAGCTAGATTTAGTTCACAGGAAGTAAGTTTTCCAATACCTGCTCCACCTCAATCTCATCATCACCAAATCCTGTTATTTTGACATTTTCAATAGAACAAAATCCCTCCACTTCTTATTATATCCACAATTACCTCCCTGGTTCAAGTCACTGTTATGTGTTGTCTGTACGATTGCAGAGTTACTGCAGAAGCCTATCAACTGGTCTCCATGCATTCACCCTCATTCCCCTTAAAATTTATTCTCACCAGAGCATCCAAAGTGATCTTTTCAAAGAAAGAAGTCATATCATGTCACTCCTCTCTCAGAATCCTCCAATGACTTTCCTCTTTCAAAGTGACAGTCCACAAGGCCCTACACAATCTGGACCCTAATAGTCTCTGTGACCTCATGTCTATCACTAGCCCTTTCACTCCCTCTTTCCCACACTGGCCTCCTTTTTGGTCTTTGACATGCAACAAATGGGATGCTCCTGCCTCAGGGCCGGGATCCTGCTGTGCCCTTAACCTGAAACACCCTTTTCCTGGATATTTGCATGGTTTGCTCCTTCATCCTTTCAAGTTCCTGCTCAAATGTCACCTTATTGCAGAGGGCTTCCCTAACAGTCCTCTAATCATAGTACTTTCCCCAATACACATACACAGCCACACACACCCAACACAGACACACAAACACAAAAACTTTCCTTCTTATCCTGCTTTTTCATTCTCAGAATTTACTACCACGTGATACTTGCTTAATATTTGTATTGTACCACCTATTCCTCCCCAAACTGTAAATTCTGCATAGTTCTGTTTGCTCTTTGTATCCAAAGTATCTAGAACAATACTGGAACAATATAGATGCTTACTAAAATTACAAATCTCTTAAATGATTTAATAAAAGCCTGTATCATATATATATATATAAACCATTTTATAATTACATAAGGATGGTATATAGGATAGGGTGGAAAGAAAACTAAAATATGCAAAGATAGGGTGTTTGTTCCAAGAATGCTGCCTATCAACTGTAAATTGTGAGAAATTATTAACTTTTCCTGAACCTTGGTTTCCATATCTCTAATGCAGATAATATCTGCTTTCTTCTACTTTATTTGCCTTCTGAAGGTCAAAAGTCACGTTAGAGAATACAATCAAAAGCGCTTGCTAACTGTAGAGAATTGTAAAAAGATCAGCTGCTGGTGGTTTTGCTCTTATTTTTGCTTTACTGAAACCTTGCATGGATGAGAAACTGGTTGCCAGACTTCATCATTTTAGGAGCATCCTGAAGGCAAATTCAACAGCAATTTAGATAAAATTGAGTAGAGATGATGGTGAAAAAAGAGATATAGGAATATAAACAGAAAAATATGGCAACAATGGCATATAAATAGAGCTATTTACATATATAAAAGAAGGCCTCACCTGTATACTGCCTATCCAGAGTGATTTGGCCAAAAGCCTGATGCCTAATGGCAATTATTTCATGCCACTTTCCATCACTGTACTTTTTGCCATTATCATTAGCTGTAGTAACTTGCACTGATGACCCCTTAGGAGAATAAATGAATGAATGAGCAAATAAATAAAGGTTTATACACACAACAAATACATGCTTGTATATTTGTTATAAACCAACTTAAAAATTTCAATATTATGATCCTGCTACAAGCATGTATATATGTCAAACAGAATTCAAATGTAAAGCTGTTATCTCACATCAATTCCAGCTTTCCTGGGATGTATCTCTCTGAATACCATATAGCTCACATCTGAAAAGAACTTTTCTTTGGATTAAGAATCTCTTTAAAAAGACCCTTGCATTTTGAGTACTTGTATTCATCAAAAAGGTAATAGGTTTTCTAGTCTAAAATTTAAAATTTTAATTTTCAAGGCAGAAATGTGAAATAAAAGAATTTACTTTTTTAATTTTAATTTTAGATTCAGAGGTACACATGCACACTCATTACTTGGACATACTGCGTAGTAGTAATAAAATACTATTCAAAATTGGCTCTACCCACTGACTCTTAGCGCAAGTGACAAAATTAGGTTCTAAAGATAGAGAGATGTCAGGCAATTTCTCTTACTTTCACAAAACTATCAATAAAAAGAATGAGATTCACATTGAAAATTAGCCAGTTATTAATACATTGAACATGAGTATGGGTTTAAACTTAGTACACAATGCTTTGTAGTAGAAAAATCTAATACTAATATCTCTAAGTAAGGTAATAATACTACAGTTAAAAATGTATTCCTAAGTGGATAAAATCCATGAAATGGGAAATATTAAGAACAGAGAATAGCAAAAAGAAGTAAGGATAAGAAAACAGAGAAAGAAAAAAACAGAAGAGAAACCTTCCATTTTAGCACTTTCAAGCCAAGTGAATACTTTTTCAGTATGCTATGGTTAACCCAATGGTAATAATTTTAGTGTGAATAAGCAAATATTACTAAGTAAAAGATATATCAATTTAGTCACCAACATCTACTATTGCTACTATTTTTAAGAAATAAACAGAAAATTATTCTGCCCCTTCTAAATGAAAACAAATTTCTGTTTATTTACTTAGAAATAATAAACCTCATTCTAATAAAATTTTTTAAAAGCAAAAATAAGGTTGGCCAATATATTACAAAAACTATTTAATTACCTGAAATTTTCACCAAATTCTAATAATTGTTCTATATTGTTTTTCAAAAAGAGAAAACAGATCATTGTTTGATGTAACAGACCTGAAGATTTATATTGAAAAAATGCAAAGTTAATATACCATCTTTAGTATGATTTCTGTTTATCTTTCCCTGAAGTAGCTTCTGTGATATAACATGTCCATTCCACACATTTAATTGGCTCTTGTCGAGCTTCATCAAGAGCTTGACAACATGCATGACATACAGAATTCCATGTTACTAAATTTTTTTAAAACGGTTTTTAATTTCCCATGAGTATGAGAGTATTACTTCTCACGTGGACAATATTCCAACTTTTAGAGACAGCTCAGTCAGCTAGAAACATGACCAGTTGGTTAAGTTGATTTTCTAGTCTTTAAGTTTTTGTAGGTTGACTTTTCTTATATCTGTTTTATCTACATACTCTTTTATTTTCTTCAACCCTATTTCAACATTTTAATATTTTACAAACACACATTTCATTATCGTAGTTTAATAATTAAAACCAGAACTGGTGTCGTGCCCAATTAATGTGCCCTGGTAGCATGCCCATTAGTTTTTCCATTAGTGAATTCAACAATACTAATGGGATTACTAGCATGGGATGCTAATTGGGCGTGACATAAGAAACTGGCTTACTTCTTAGCATACCCTTGCTAATGATGAAATTAATGAGCATTTTATTAAATGCTGTCTCATCAAAGTGTACTTAGTTAGCGTTAAAATTGTTACAAACGATGCTGCATTCTAAAGATCAGGTGTCTGAGTAAGTGGTTCTTCATATTTTGTTTGGCAACAATCTGAAGCATTAATAGTTCTCTACATCAGAAATCATATTTATTGGAGACAAGTTCAAGTACACAACCTACCGCCTCAGTATGCCAAACTCACTTTATACTCAGGGGAACTTAGACTATTATTTTTAAGATTATTTTCCCCCACCAATGTTAAAAGAATAATTCTGTGCTAAATTCTGGTGTCATATTATGCAGTTTGTTCTTTCCATTGTAAAATATCAGACACGTTAAATAGATGCTATTCAGAATTTTTCGAATGTTTCACTTTCACAATTTCCTTCTGAGTGACACTAGAACATGATGTGAATTTCCTGTTAATATCACTAACCATAGAACATTTAAGGGATAAATATGGGTCATTTTTGGTTAAAAAAAAATCAAGTCCATTTAAAATTAAATTTAATAAAATGAAAATGATATGATTATAGCTATTTGTTGGACCAAAAAAATACAACATTTAAACACAGGAGTTAACTTTTCTTTATTGGTTCTTTTAACAGTGACTCCAAGTGTCCATTCCATAATATACACATTTCCAACTTTATATATTATAAAGAATCTTTCTCCTTTCCCCTAAACATTTATCCAACAGAATGCTTTGAATAATTATGAGAGAAGCCAAATAAATTTGTGTACCAATAGCCTCTATGTAGGATAATCCTGTTATATTTATTACTCAAGTTTATTAAGATTTTTTAAAAGAGCAAAGTACATGATGATCTCAAGTTATTTCCAGAATATGTGCTAGACAATAACTAAAATTTCCTTAAATTATTCTTTTCATAATTCAAAATTTGATTATTTTTGAATGAATTCAGTAACGGTAATTTTAAAACAACCAACTTATTTTTCCGATAAAAGTCAAAGTATCCAACAAATGAATTTAAATAAATAACTATGTTTTTATATAATCATTTGAAAGCTGGAAATGTTAGCCCAGAATATGGGTAATTTTCTTCAATCATTATTAATAGTATTATGTCACTAGTTATTGAGTCAGTCTGCCACCCAATATGTCGACAGCCATTTATTTATCGAGCATCTACTATGCTCCAAGGATGGTGCTAAGTCCTGAGAATGTATTTTTGAACAAAGCAGTCATAGACTTTGCCCTCACAGTATTGTACAGTTTAATAAGAAAGATACATTAAGCACATAATTACTTGTGTGATGAGTACAATAAAATATCCACTGGATAATCTCATCCTTATTTAAAGATTAAAGGGAAAAAACTGGCTTAAAGTGGTACTCAACGTATTTAAAATATTAATAATTTTCCTGTCAGTGGGAGGCATATGAAATAAACTTCTTTATATCGTTAAAACTGGGGTAGCTCTAATTTCATACAAGAAGATATAATCATATCTAAAGGAGACCAAACTAGAATAATATTCAAAATTTTCACCATCCCTTCAGTTTCAACACTTCTTTGTCTATAAATAAATGGGGACTTCATTATAAGGTTAAAAAATATGTTTAGCTGGGCTTGGTGGCTCAGCCTGTAATCCGGCGCCTTTGGGAGGCTGAGGTGAGTGGATTGCCTGAGTCCATGGGTTCGAGACCCGCCTGGGCAACTTGGTGAGACCTCATCTCTACAATGAATCAAAAATGAGCTGGGCGTGGCAGCACGTGCCTGTAGTTCCAGCTACTTGGAAGGCTGAGGCGGAAGGATCGCTGGAGCCCAGCAGGTCGAGGCTGCGGTGGCCGGGAACGGCCACTGCACTCCAGTCGGGGTGACAGAGTGAGACTCCAACTCAAAAAAAAAAAAATGTTTAGTTAACCTGTATTAGAGCATTAATTCCTTGAGGATAAGGAAGGACACAGCCCTTGCTAGTGTGAGCTCATTGTTTCAGATACACACAGCATCATGACCCATGAGCACTTAGTATAATATATCTGATTACATTTTCTCAAATATATCCTAAGGCCATCTTGCTTGACCAATACCCTACTTAAAAAAAAAAAAATTATCATTTTGCTGAAAACTCAGTTTTTACTTTGTGGAGACATAATAGTTCAGAAAAAAGTTTACCTACCAGGCGTCATTAAAACCTTCCTACTCCCCTCAGTCCTTCAACTTTGGGCTGTAACAATTTTATTAGTACTTGGCTGGCACCTACTAATGACGTATACAGGTTAGGACCTGGCTATACAGAGTAGGGGCATGGCAGCTGGGAAAGCTAGTGGCAGTGATGAGTACTCTAAGTAATTGTTTGAGAGAGAAGGGTAAGGAGCAGAGATGATGGGCAATGCCTTGTGAATGTTTCCCTGAACTCTGTTGTCATGCTTTGCACCATCTGATCATTGTAAAGCAGATGAAAACAAATGAGACCTAGAGTTTCCTGGCATCCATTCTCTGGACTACAACAATACGATCAGTGGTTGAATAGAGTTAAGCGTTGTCGTTTGAGCCCTTTACCTTCCTATTCTGCAGCGTCTTAAGGTACCACATCCTTTAGATAAAGAAACAACACTTATGTCAAAAGAGATGGCATTCATGCTTCAGATGTGGTGAAATCATTTTTGAATTGATTCTCCAAAGATTGTCCCATATGTTTAGGGTGTGTGTGTGTGTGTGTGTGTGTGTGTGTGTGTGTGTGTGTGTGTGTGTGTGTGTGTGTGTGTATGTAGGTGTATGTATGTTTATTAAATACTCAAAAATCTGTGATGAACAGCCCGTGGTCAATATTCTAGTGAGTGGCATTTTGTTCATTTGTGTTCCTAGTGCCTAACTGTAGAGTATTATACATTCTTAACAAAGTTTCACTGAATGAAATTAACTAAATTCCATGCTAGTTCTATCCCTAAACCACCATACGACCCTAGTTAAGCAACTTGATCTAAGGCAGGGATGAAAACCACACCTACTTTAAGTGGCTACTTTAAGAATGAAATGAGATGATTCATGTGAATCCACTTTGTATCCTTTAAAGCTCTATAAATAAGTGGTTATATGGTAAAGATTTTTCTCCCTCTGGTTTCTTCTTAAATATCCCCAGATCCCTGGATATCCACAGATATTAACAGGTTGAAGGGGAAAGAGCAGAGCCAGATTTGTCTTCCTCATTGACACGCTTCTATTTTACTGTACTATCCATTTTCTTTCTTTTCTGGATTTTTCTTGTTTTTGAAATTTATCACTTGTTTTCTTTTTTCGTCTTATTATCTAAATGTTATGTGGACAATTTTTATTCTATTAAATTAGCTTATTTTTTCCCACAATACTTAAAATCAAACAATTGCCCTATTTATTTTATGAAAACAAGGCATCAGTAGATATATATATATGTATCTACTGATGTCTTGCTACCCCCCACTAAGCTGATAACTTTAGAAACTTCCTAACTTTAGCAACAGTTATTAAGTTTGTTTTTGCACTTGCTATATTTCTCTTCTATTTGGCACTGTAAAATACAGTTCTAGTCACTCTGTCATTAAATATTTAGGTTTAACTTAATATTGCTAGGTTTATTATTCACCACTGCTCCTTTTTATTTCTGTTTCTTTTCCTTTTGGCTAGATTACTGGCTGGAATATTTCTTTCCAATATGGTTCCTGGGTGCCAATTTTTTCCTGGATCCCTGGATATCAACAAACAATTTCCTACATGATAAAAGCAGTACAGCATTATAGCTAAAACTATGGTCTTTGGAGCTGGCTTGGTCATTTGTCAGTGTGACTTTGGGATAATCAACTTACCTGTGACTCCGATTCCTCACTTGTAAAATGGGAATATTTAGAGTGTCTACAACATAGTTATTGAAAAGTTCAAATGAGAGAGAGAGAGAGAGAGAGAGAGAGAGAGAAGGTGTGTATGTATGTGTGCATACACAAATTTATGTATAAAGAGAGCACTTAAAATAATGCCTGGAACAAAGAGGTCTCATAGAAGTATAAGTTTTGAGTAATCTTGACTGAAACTTGATGAGTTCTTTCAATAAATCTTTCTTAAATCGAGTATTTCTCCTATTTCATGTTTTATTATTGTCTCTTATCCTTTTTCTTGTCCATGTGCTTTTCATTGTCCTTCTGAATCTCTTCTTAGTAATATTAGTAGCATCTACATTTCTTATTTTCCATATATTTATTATGAATTTTGAGGGCTTTCTTCAACTTTATCTCTGACCTACTAATCTGAGGCTCGAAGTATCTCTCTTCTAATTAATCTACTTAAGGTTTTCAAATAAAAAATAATATTTTCAGTTCTGTAATAGAATCAATTTCAACTGATTTTTTTTTTCTTTCACTTGCCATCTGCCTTGCCTTCTGTGATATCTGCTGCTTCTCTCTTTCTCTCTGGCTGCTATACCTGCTTAGGTGAGATGCTATTTCTTTTTGCTTACTCACTGTCCTCCTGTTGGCAAACTTTAAGGAGATGCATTTCAGGGGACACTCAGAAATCCTTGTGCCTGAGGACCTACAGTGTACTAGCCAGGGGATTATCAGGCCCCTATCAAGACATCAAGAGGGAATTTTTCTGTCCTGGTCTTTCTAGTGGCCAGCTTGTGGTTCTCCTAGCTTTATAAGGCAGGAAGAACTCAGCCTGTGTCTTGAGGCTGGCAAGATTCTTAGATACCATTGGTCCAGCAGGTACTGACTTTCCTCTCCAAGGTCAGTGGGCTTCCAGGGTACATGAGGATGTGATCCTCACCACTAGCTCTTAGCCCATAATCCCAGACACAACTTGGATAAGGGGAGAATTTATGCCAACTTTACCAATATTTTGTAAAAAAATAATTTACCAAGTATAACATAATTTAGATTGTCAGTTTTAAGTTGAGAAATTGAGGAAACAGAAAAAAAAACCCATCTTTTATTTAGCTTTACTCATTTCTCGCCTACTACATAGGCTTACTCATAGGCCTCCTACAATACCTAATATCAATTGCTTACTTATTGTTTAATTAAAGTGAAGACAGCTGTTTAGTGGTTTCCCATTGCCCTTAGAAAAATTTACAACCTCACATTTGCTTATAAGACTCTAAATGTCTTGTTCTCTACTCAGCTTTTCAAGCTTCTACCTTTGCCTTTATTCTCTGTTCTTCAGCCATATTTGATGTATCTCAATGTATTGAATGTGCCATGTTATTGTCCACCCCCAAGCACTGGACATTTGCTATTTGCTATGTTAGGAACTTTATTCCCAGCATCTTCCCTCATTTTTCATCAGTATCTTCCCTGTCCTGCCTCTCTTCAAACAAATACCCTCATATAAAGACATATGCTCATGTTAACTAAATTTTCCTCATTGTTTTATATCTCAGTTAAATATCACATTTTTGAGAAAAGCGACAACTCAAAGAACTCTTCATTTTATGTTCACATAAGACATAACACCTCACACATATATCACAAAATGCATAAATATATTAAATGAATGATTGTATTTATACTTTCCACGTTGTTTCATAGGGACAGGCTCATATGTGACTTTAAAACTATTGTAGTCTGCAACACCCAACACAATAGTACCTGATAGTCACTTAAATATATGTTGGCAAAACAATGAAGAAAGAAAGAAAGAAAGAAAGGGGGAAGGGGAGTGAGGGAGGACAGGTAGACAGGAAGAAGGAATAACAGAAGAAAAGGGGAGAGGAAGGGAGGGTAAGAGGGAGAAGAAAGGGAAGAGAGATGGAAGGAACACATAACTTTTGCTAAGAAAAAGTAAATAGGAAAATTAAGAAAAACAAAAACAGGTCTCTTTAAATTTACTTAAAATGTTTAATATTCATTATAAGGTAGCATTTTGGTTGTTAAGAGCATAGATTCTCAGTTAAACTACGTGAGAAAGTCAGCTCTGCGTTGAAAGTTACAGCTGCTATTTTAGCTGCGGGCAAGTCACATCACTTTTGTTTCATTTTCTTTATGGCAAAATGGGAATAATAATAATACTTACCTTATAAGTTTTTGATGAGGATTCAATGTGAAAACATAAGCATTTATCTCAGTGTCTGGCACCTACTAAACTCTTACAAATATTAACTCTACGAATTTCTCATTTACCTGAGGATCAAAAAGAAAATAAGGACGTCCATTCTTCAACTGAAGTGCAAAATACTCTTCCTGATTGCCAGGTGATGCTGCAAAGACAATCAAACCTTCAGGCACCCTTGTTCGAAAGCTGGCCTTAATGCCTGGTAAGACAAGTGTGATCAGCAAATCAGTGCTGGGGTTTTGTTGATTCTTTCTGATAAATGTACATTTACTTTCATTATTATTTATGATGTAGTGAGTACAGTCAGGAAATTATACACAGCAATGTACTGGGATGGTCCCAGTCACTTGGTTTTAAATATATCCCATTTTAAATGCCAACCAGTACTTGGAACCTTGAGCCTGCATTCCTGCTAATCAATATATAATGAAGCTTAAATTTATGCAAAACTCATCAACCTAAAAAGACATATTGTCAACCCAAAATTGGATACTCAGAGTATCAATGTGAAAACATTATCAGAGAGTCATAAAAATAAATGGGTTTTTGATATAAGTAAAAGAAACACAGGGGCCTTGTTTAAAATATTTATGAAGTTTAAAGAATCAGTCCAGTAATAGAAGCTAATACTGGAAAGTCCCGATAATACCTGTAACCAAATGGTTTGCAGACTTCAGAATTTCACTCTTTACTAACCCTTCAGACCACATACTAGCCCTATACAGAACATTACAATACTCTTGTCTCATAGAAATTTCCCCAGTTCCGGAAGCAGGGGCAACTTGAGACAGTCCTACAAACGCCTTCTTGCTACCACCACGTGGCCTCACCTCCACTATTTCTAGTAATCCACTTACTCAATACAAACTAAGGAGTTCTTCGGGTTTGTAAGGCATGTTCCTTAATGTACTGAAACTGGCAAAAATGTTTAAGAGACACAATGTTCTCAAATAGTTTCAAGTTTAGTTGAAAATATAAAATGTATGTATGTCTTAAAAGACAAATCATACAATGAGAATCTAAAGAGAGCTCAAGAACATACAAGAAAATAAAATAACAGCTCAAGAACACAGTACTGAGTAATTAATAAATACTGATTTAAGTAGAAATACAGCCAATCAGGATATGAAAAATTAAAGGAGAGAGAATTCCCTTTTGACTGGGCTGATAACCACTGGTCCTATATAGGTAGGGGTATTTAATTTGGGTTCAGTAGACTGCAACTACCTCAGGAACCTTGTCTCATTCATCTAGGTGTACTTGGTAAATAGTCTGAGAGTCTGAATAAAGGGAAAGGAGGTGAGAAGTACGTTAGAGGTAAGGGAGAAATTTTAGCAAAGATTTGAAAGCAGGAAAGCAGAAGTCATTTGGTGAGTGTTGGATTGTCATTTTTTTCAATATGCATCTATGGAATGTTAACATTTGTAGAGTTCTCTGCTATCCAGTAAAGAAAACTAACAAGTCAGTGCTATACATTAAGTGCTATTGAGAAAAAGACAACTAAGAAAACCATATGAACTGGTATACAGTTATATACGAGATATAATTTGATTCAAAGGAATTGAGGAAGTTTTTGCAGAGAACATCATGCCTGAGCTTGTTTTTAGATAATATAAAATAATTGGGGGGAAATCACACAAAGGCCTAGAGGCATGGAAAGTATTGAGGAAGGCTGGATATGAAGGAGGATGTTAGATGAATCTGGAGAAATAGGCGAGATCATACCTTAGCCCATATGCCATGAACAATTAGCCTTGAGAAAGCAGGATGGAAAAGATGACTGTATTCTAAGTATCTTCAGAGGGCCATTCCCTTACCACTAGCAAAAGCAAGATTGGGATGCGGGAATCAGACTTTCCAAAATGACGAATTTGTCCTGTCCTTGACTTCTGTATCTCCAGCTTCTAGGCTTTATGCTCTTGGCTCTTTTTAACACACATATCCTAGTCATTTCGTTATCTCATTGCTTCATACTCTCTTATTCTCCTGCCTGCTTAGATGTTGAAGAAAGAAAGAAATCTTGCTGCTAGATTCAGAGGCTGGTCTTTCCTGGCAATTCTTTCAATCCATGAAATAGGATTGTTTGCCCTAACAAATCATTTTTCAGTAGTTGAACTTGCTTGGACCCCAGTTACTAGACTTATTGCTCTCCTCTTTCCTATCCTAATAAGTGGACTCAAAAGATTGAGTCGCCAGTCTGAAACTCATCCTATTGAGTGGAAGACAGGAATGGGATGCCAAAGTCAGGACAAAGGCAACCGAACTGATGGTGGAATGTATAGAGGACACAGGTAATTTAGGTCCAGAGAAACAAGTTAGGAGATCACTGTGATTTAGTGATAATAAGAATTTTAATTAAAGGCAGACAAATAACTGATTTGAAAGGATGAACTCTATCCATTTCAGAAGAGATACATTAAGATATATTGATATGCAGTGATGTTGTAGGGGCAAAATAGACAATTCTTTTCACCAATTATTGAGGGAAAGGAGCTATTATTAATACAAATAGAAATGTCAGATAAGAAAAGATAGTTGAGGTTAGGGATTATGTTTAGTTTTGAGTACACTGAGTTTATGGTAGTGATGTAGAAAACTTTATCACTTAGAAATGAGAAACTAAATCTCAGAAGAGAAGATGGGGCTAGGAAAATAAATTGGCAATCACTTACCATGTCTTAAAAACAAGAAGCCATGTCTTCAAAACAGAATGCAGAGACAAAAAGAACTATTGTGGGAAGTGCCAACATTTAAGAAAAGGGGAAAAAGAAGGACAACAATAAAGTGAGAACAATAAAGATAATATTGCAAAATGAGAGCCTAGACAAGTGAAAACATTAAGAAGGCAAGGTTACCTAACTGTGAAAACTCTTCCTATAATTAGACTTGAATAAAATCTAATGGAACTGGCAATGGCATAATCTCCTTTCAGTAGGGCAGAATGGCCAGAGTCCAGCTGCTGGCTCATAAGGACAGAGGAAATGAATGAGTAGAAAGTGGGTATAGAGTACTCAGAAAAATTTGATAAAGAAATAAATGGGAAACATAAAAATTCATTATTAGGGTAGATCATGGAGGTAGAAGGAGGCATCCACCACCAAAAGCATAGACATAGTTAAAGCTTAGTCTACAATCTGACCAGAGAACAATTATATTTCTACCAATTCTTCTCTTAAGCATCTCTCCTTTTGGTTCAGAGTAGCTCTCTCCTTCAGAAGTCTCATTTTTCTGTCACCATTTTTTGATCTTATATTTGGTGTCATATATTATTGTTAAAACTATTGCTGTAAAATTAGCTCAAGGTTATTTCACAAAAATAGCTACAATATGAGATGTGAAGACAACAAACTCTTGTGTGTTGGAAGCATCTATGTGGCAGTAAAGAGACTATGAGCAAGAATTTGTGTGTTAGAAAATATCAATAATTGCTCAGTCTGGGAAAACAATTACTTATCTTTAATTCAGGGGAAAAAATCTGGTGAATGAAAATGAATCAGAATAAGAACTACAGGAACATTTAGCCAAGTTATACTTGGGAAAAATTAATAATTATATGTTATCCAAGAAATATGCAAGTACATATGTTTTTCAAAAACACAACACTTTATTTTCAAGTTTTACACTTATATAACAAAGAAATACAACTATAACACTTTACACAGATCTAGAAAAATTTCTTTTGAGAAGGAAAGATATAGTGAAGGGCAAGTTTATTTGATGGTAGATGGTAGAATTTCCCACAGCTTTTTCAAATAATTCAATCTTGTCATTTTTCTCTTTTCATTACCAAAATAAATAATTAATGATTATCTTTTGCATGAACTCTATAAGGATATTTAAAATACACACATTTACAAAAACATCATATTTTTTACAATTAGTTAATCATTGCTATAGGCATAAGTAAATCCCATCCTTTGAGCCAGATGCTTGTCATGTAATCAATTCTTAAATGAACTAAATTCACAAATGAATGCATTTAAATGCAAAAGAACAATCTTTTAATGAATGTATAAAACATTTTAAAGAAAATGTCATTAAAGTTACTATGAGGTAGCATAGTAAAATGCATAATTATTCAAAGTCATAAACACTTTTTTCTGTAAGAAGACTTTATATATATATATTTGTGTGTGTGTCTATATGTATGTACACTAGATGTACACTAGATCCCCAGTTACTGATCTAGGCTCAGCCATGTGACTTGTGTAGGCCAAAGGAATGAAAGCAGACATGCAGTCCCTCACAAGGGCAGAAGTCTTAAATGCGTCTTGGCAGCGAAGCTTGACCCCTGTCTTCCCCTCTGCCTCACGCATGTGTTTACAACCTGGGCCCAGGAATAAAAAGACTTGTGAACCACAGCCCAGCAGTGCCAAAATACTTTTTTTGCTTTAAATGTTTGTGTTAAGCAGAAACACTGACTAAAATGGGCAGAAAAGCAAAAAATAAACACTTCCCACTTGCTAAAATTTAGATTTTATTTTTTATGAAATGAGACAGAGAGAAAATGTTATAAAATTTATTTTGTTTGGTTTGGAGAAATAATAGAGCATCTTCTGCATCTCTATGTTTATTCATTTATTCAAGAAATATTTAAAGAACACATACTTTGTGCAGTCACTATTCTAGGAAAGTAGGATACAGAAATGTATAAAATAAACATATATCATGGCCTAACATTCTAAAAATCTGAAAACCCAAGTTCCATATGGAAATATTTAACTTTCACGTAAGTGTATTTGCAACTTTAAAAATGTCATCATAAAAATAATACACTTATAGGGCCATTGAGTAGGTAAATGGTTCTTACACAATAAAGCTATAATAAAAAAAGAGAAAGTTGATCAATTAGACCATATTAGAATTAACAACTTTTGTCTAACAAAAGGTATGAATAAGAGAGTGAAAAGGCAACCACCATAATGGGAGAAGATATTTGCAATACGTATTTCTAATAAGAAGACACATAGACAGAAAAAAATATATAAAAAGATGCTCAGCATCATTGGCCATTATGAAAATGCAAAATAAAAGGTGATACTACTAAATATGCTCAGAATAACTAAAACAAAAAAGAAAACACAAAGTGTAGCTAAATATCTACAGCAAGTGTGTATATACAAATAATACACACACACACACAAATACACATATATGTATATTTTATATATTATATATAATGCATAATGCTAAAAATATGAGAATACTAAATAAAATATTACATTTATTAATATTGTGATAATATTTTATATATATACATGCAGCACTTATAAACTACTAGTTGGAATGCAAATTAGGACAACTACTTTGAAAAATTGACAGCATTTATTAAATTATTCATGTCTTTTAAATACAAGAGCAGAGCCCCCAAACCCAGAATTATCTTTTGGAGGGTAAGCCCATTTTGGTACAGGCTTCTTCTGCTAGGGAAGTGTTCTAGGAACCCATCGGCATCAGTGTAATAGCTAGTGTTGTTGGGAGATGCTGCATTTGACTTCAGTGAACATTTTTTGTTTTGTTTTTTAGATCTCTTTTCAATGCATTTTCCCTTTTATGATGGGTGATTTATAAGCACACCTGCCCACACAGTACTGAGTATTCAGCAGTTTTTGACTAAAAATGACATGACCCCAGGGCCCTCCCTGTTCACCTGATCTCGTCCCAAGTAACATTTTTTTGTTTCATCAGATGAAAAATATCCTCAAAGATA